CGCGTCGTAGACGCTATTCCGATACTTAGACGGTGGTAGCTCTACGATGAAGTCCATGGTAATATCTTACTAGGGCTTCATCGGCGGAGCCAGAGGGACTAGCTCTCTATAAGACTTATGTCTTAGAACCTTTATTCTTTAGCACACATCATAAGTATCTATATACTCGTAAACGTCCCTCTTTATCCTAGGTCACCAGTAATAACGCTGAATAACTTTAAGCGTTCTAGCTCGCCCAAAGTGACCCCCGTCCTAAGGATCATCATGATTAACCCTTAGAATCTTAGCCTTAATCGTTAAATCATTAAGAATATAAATAAGTCCATTTCGTCGAACTATTCCCGCTTAATCTAGTGTCTAATGCTCTTTATCTACGGAGATTATCCACATTCGTGCGTCCACGAACCGATTAAGACTCTACGCCTCCCGAATCTAAGCTTCTAGATTTACTCTCCTATCTAATTCGGGTGAGAAAGTCGGCGCTCTTTCTCTTTCAGGGGTCGCCTGGCTTATATTTATTAGGCGATCGTCCTCGATGAGTTCATTTAACCCATCGCTCTTCTACTCTAGCTCTACTTCGCTAGTAGAAGATATTGAGCTAAAAATAGTGTTCTATTCACTATCCCTTGGATGCGGTTTTCGTAACGACTACGCTCTCGTTAATACCGCAATTCGAACAGCGCTAATCGATATCGATACTTTACCGTCTTCACCCGATTCGGGTGGAGGCTCTAAGCGTAGGGCTATAAGTTTATATAGTATATTGCCCTATTTATCAGTACTTAAAATTGCTCGCTCATAATTAGGCCTTCTAGATAAGCCATTAGCGGGGTTTTTCTTATCTACCCTCCATTCAATACGAAAATTAAATGCTACTAGGTCTTCTACCTAGCGTATTTATCTCTTTCGAGCTAATATCTTTATATTTATAAAGTGGGTTAGCGCTTCATAGTTAGTAACCATAGTCACTATCTTAGAGAGGGCTTCTAGATAATATCTCTATTCCTTAAATACGTATATAATCGCTAGTATTTTCTAGTTACCTATAGAGTACCGAATTTCCTTAGATTTATATTTACGAAAGTAGAAGGCTATAGATTTCTAAACGAATAAAGGTTTCTTATCCGTTTTAGATGAGAGAATAGTAATCTTCTAAAATAATATATCTTCTAGTTCACTACTAGAGACATCGATCTCTACTCTTATCTCTAGATTTAGATCGTAATAATAGAGTAGAGAGGCTCTTTTAAAGCGCTTCTTAAGCTCTTAAAAAGTCTTATCTACTTTTAGGGTCTATTCTAGAGGGTCCTTCTTTACGCTATACTTTATTTTCTTTAGTAGGTCTATAATTAGCGTCACTACTCTTAAGAAATTACGGATGAAGCCTCTATAGAAATTAGTAAATCCTAGGAATATCTAGATATCTCTAAATATCTAGGGAGTAGACTATTCTCGAATGGCTACTACTCTCTAAGGATCCATTGAAACTCCTTTCTTATTGACGATGAAGCCTAGGAATGTCACTTCTCTTATATAGAACTCGCATTTACTAAGTTTAATGAAAAGCCGTGATTTCCGGAGTCTTTCGAGCACTTATTTAACATAATCCTCGTATTCCTTCTCTATTCTACTAAAGATTAGAATATCGTCCATATATACAATGCAGAAAACGTCTAGTAAGCCCTTTAGAGACTCGTCTACGTATATCTAGAAGGTAGCTAGGGCATTCGTTAGCCTAAAAGATATCACTAAGTACTCGAACTACCTATATTTAGTGCGGAATACTATTTTCCACTGGTCCTCTACCTTAATGGAGATTCTATGGTAAGTATCTCGTAGATCTAGCTTTATAAAGAGTTTTACTCCTACTAGGCGATTAAGGATCTTAGATATTAAGGATAATGAATAACGATTCTTAATCGTGACCTTATTCAGCCCTCTATAGTTCATATAGAGGCGAAGTTCTTCGTCTTTCTTTAGAATAAATAGAATGAGAGCCTCAGTAGGTGAGATACTTCGTCGAATCCACCCTTTCATTAATGTATTATTGAGATATTCCCTTAGAGCCTCGAGTTCTCTACTACTTAAAGGGTAGATGGGCTCATAGGGTGCTATTATATCTAGCGTAAGATTAATTATATACTCTACCTTCGACACTAGTGGAATTTAAGCCTCGCCCGAATCTAATGCTACGTCGCTATAGCTAGTATAAAGAGAAGATATATCTCCGTCTTTACTTAATATAAGAGTTCGGAGGCGGGTGAAACACTACCCCACCCGATTCGGGTAAGAAACCCTTTGAGATTTCTCTAAAGATTAATACTACATAATATAGATTTTATTCTTCTCTTAAATAAGCTCTTACGCTATGATTATACTAATTCGGGTTTAGCGGTCTAGATCTCTCACTACCTAGGTATCATCTCTAAAATTAATATCGGAATTAATTACTTCGAGCCAGCGCATACCGAGTATTATATCGAATCCCTCGATATTCGTAGATAATAAATTAAGTCTAGCCTTAGTAGTCCTCCCCCGATCATTAATGGCCTAAACCTCGAGGCTATAACGGCCGTAAATAGTAATCTACCGACCATCCATAGCCTTCCTAAATACATCTAGTGAAACGCCTTTTAAACTAAGTCTAATAATAGTTATCTATGAGATGAAGTCGTCCTATACCCCACAGTCCATAAGGGCCCGCAATCGATGCTTCTCGCCCTTTACTCGGACTATTACTTAAATACTCACACAGCGTTGCTCTAATGCGCCGTGTCTCGTAGACTAAATGTGCCCTAATACGGTAGCTACGTTTACTACATTAATATCTATTTTTTTATACTCTTTTTAGGGTAATTCCGTACTAAATATCCTTCCTTATGATAATTATAGCACTTAGGAATAAACGAGGACGTTGATTTTTCTCCCTGCTTAGCTTTAGGCTTAGCTAATACGTTTAGCGAACTAAATATATTTTTTCCCTCCCGATTCGGGTGGGAAGTTCTATTCTTACTTTCTATTATAGCCATCGATGTCTTTTACTTTAGAAGCTCATTTCTTTTCTCTAAAGTATCCTTCTTCTTAGCCTTACTCTTTTACTCATTCGCGAAACGTATCTCATAGCGATAGGCGACCGTAAGGATAGTATCTCTATTAAGACGTACCTCCTATGGCTCTACTATAACTACGTTACGAATATTGAGCTGTAGACCGTGAAGGAAACGCTATATCTTTTACTCGACTTCCGTAAGCCTTAATGCCTTTACCTCGGCCTCTACTTACTCTAGTTTATATAAGTATTAACGAATACTCTATTCTTTTCATTACTTTCTAAACTAAGTAGTATAAGTGGCCTTAAAAGTGCGAGTTTAAGAGTCTTTAATGGTGCCTCGAAGAAACGTGAGGAATTTCTCCTAACTAGCGGGTACGTTACGTTGTCTATAATATATCTAACGAGGCTCTCTATCTAGCTAGGTTACCGCCGTTTAGATAGCTCGCTTAGTTATCTTAGAGTCTATTAGGTCTTAGTGATAGAACTCGAAATATATCTCGATGCCCATAATAAACTTAGTTAAGGCCTAGTAACTACCTCTATTAAAATACTTCGGGGGGTCCGCCTTAAAGATTTTCGCGTAGCTAGCTAAATTATCTATAGCTAGTCGCTTATTATTCCTACCCGATTTAGATGAGAGACTTCGAGAATATACTATAGTCTCTTACATTAATCTCTATTCCATACTAAGAGTACCCCCTCTCCGTAGATAATGGATTCGGTCTATTTATTCTCGCCGTATTCTTTCTCTTTTAAGTCTAGATAGTTCGGCCTATAATTATTCATCATTCATTTCTTCGAGGTCACTTACGTCCGTAGGCGTGAAAATAGGGTGTCGCGAGTCTGCAGGGCCCGTAGTGATCGTAGAGTCTTCATCGATAGTCCCCGACGAGACCTCGGGCGCCCTATTATCTCGGGGCGATGGGGGGTTTATTCTCACCTAATTTAGGTGGGAACTTACCCTAGTAAGAATGATTTTTAGGGGTCTCCCTAGAATCGTATATAGCTACTACTAGCTTAATAGTACCACTACGTAATAGGTAAGCGTTGAGAATTATTAGGGACCTACGTAACGCAGTAGATATAAAAGAATTAGAGTAGCTAAATGCCTTATTCTATTTACGTAGCCCTATTAATAACGACTCAACGCTTAAGAAAAAAGAAGAGTTCTCTCTTAGCCGATTCAGGTGAGAGGAGACTCTTATAGCTTCCCCTCTTTCTGTCACGTAAAAAGGGTAAGGCAGCGTTAACCGATAGCCTTGTGCCTTAACCGTCCTTTGCCTTATCCTTTCCTTTTCTTTCTATACCGTCCACCCGATTCGGGTGGAGGGCGTAGAGTACTTGGGGACAACGGTGGGTTCGTGACAGTATCCGACACTGGCTTCACACCGACATTATGTTCAGTGAGGAAGGGACAAAGATCATCGGCGAGGAGGTGAATCGTCTTGACGTGGAGGCACATTGACTGAATGTCTTCGATCTTGACGATGGTGAAATTGAACGTTTAGCAAGCGATTTCGACGCATACACGAGTTCTCAAGGAACAGAGGATCTACATTTCCTCAAATTTCGCATCACACAGCTCATAATCGCGTGTTGTCCGCTCTGATCGAGTCTGAAGCGCCCTCTCAAATTCACCAGTATGATGCTGTCTATGCGCGGCAGTATACAGAGACACGTATACGCCAGTAGATGAAGGGCGACCCGCCATAGTCAAACCGCGCTATTTGCCTACCGCGCCTTTCAGGGCCCGGATGTACTCCCTTTTATCGTACACATCCAGTCATAATCGTTTGTCGTTGTCGTCCTCGTCGTCCTTCAAACTCCCCTTGTCCTACCTCCACTGGCTTCTAATCCGTCCAAGTCTTGGACACATACCTGTTATAGTTTTGCAAAGTTGATCCGACAAAGGAGGAAGAAATCGAACAAGGGGGAAAAGAAGACAAAGATGGCTGAAAGAGAATCAAGACTGAACAGCAAATATCCTTTGATGATCTTCATTGTCGGTATGTTAATCATTGCTTTGATTTTGTCCCCGAAAGGCCTCGAGGCAGTAATACTATCAAAAACAAGAGAGAGAGAACTCGTTTCTCTCCAGTTTTATGGATGGACGGATACACAGATGGATAGAGGGATAGATTGGGCTGACGCTTTATCTCTCATGTCATATCAACGACAGGAGTACCAGGGTCGTTCGCGCGCGAAATCGGGCAACAGATCGCGTACGAGTACGGCTTCTTCTTCATCGGAATTTCTCAGCGGTTCAAAGTGGCACAGGAGGAGCAAACAGATGCACGGTTTCTTCTCGGCCATAACGGCAACAACAATAACAACAATAACAAGCGCCGCCTCAGGTACACCACCCTGCCATACGTCGGGTCCTGGCGCCTGGACCAGAAAGTGGGCACTTTCCTCAGAGAGACAAAACACCTGCAGAACCGCGCGTGCCTAGTGATCGAGGGCTATCCGCGACACACGCGACACATCCCGGACTTCTGGCGTGCGGCCCAACGTCTATTCGTCTACTGCGAGTGCCCCAAGCCGGCGGCGGAGATGCGGGCCGTGGGCTCTCCTCTAGACTGGGACAGCAGCGCGCCAGCCGATCGCAGGGAGAGGGAAGAAACGGGGTGGAACGAAGGCGACGTGGGGAGCAGGTACTGGAACGCCAAACACAGCTTCGACGAGGACTGGGGGTTCTTTGAGACGCGCCTCACCTCCCTGCTCGGCCCCTTTATGAACAACAACAACATTGTCGGTGGGAGCGATAGCTGGAGGGCCGTCTGGCGAAACCTGCTCCGCGAGAGCTTCACACCCGGCAAGGTCGTCGCCGTGCGCACGGGCGAAGGAGACTTTGACGACTGCTGGATCCGCGCAAAAGAAGCTCTGGAGAACAGTATCGAGTTCCGCACCCTGCTCAGCGAGATCGAGCAGGATTTCGAGACCATAGCTGACGAGAACAGCGTCGAGGAAGCAGATCAAGAATAGAAGACGGCACAGACGGCGAAGAGGTTGAAGATGATGCTGGTGATGATGTGACAGGCTGGAGCATGCTATCACGAACTGTCCAGTTGAAAGATAACTAAATTGGGCAGCGGCACGTAGGTACGTGTATGGCGACTTGAAAAGCTGTGCTGCGGGATGAGACATCCATGCATGGACGCATGCTGTTTGGGGGGGAGGTCTCTAATTCTTGCCTCATGGCCCCTATGTACCTATACGAGTTGGTGGCGGCGTAGGGGTCCATCAAAGACCCTCTCCCTCAGCGACGACGATCCTGCACGCTGTAGTCTTTTCGCGCTTCCTCCACTGTGTACACCACTGCTCACTCCCTGGAAGTGCGCAGAGAGCACTGACAACAACTCGATATCGTTATCGACAATTTTCCATTACTCTCAGAAATAGTTTCTGACTGACCGACTGAATCGACACCAGTCGAAGATTGCTAATGTATGAGAAGATCCTCTGCTTCCCCATTCGAGAAGTATCCCGTGTCCGATTCGATCCCAATGAATCCGATCCGTGGGACTTCCTTTGCAGTGTCATTGATCAAACACCTAATTTGTTTTATCAAGCTCCTCCAGTATCCACTTTTAGGTTTTGAGAAGTACCCGAAAAGGGGCATATGATAGACATAACCGCTCACAGGAATCACCAAACACCAGCGCTGAAAGTACAAAAGGAAAGGAACAAAAAGAGAGAGGCGGATCGATTAGTGCATTATGCACGTACCGCGGATACAGACCATCATCACCGCCCTCTCCAAAAAGACAGCAGGTACTCCGCGGAGCTAGGCAGGTGAGGGCTGGCAAACGCCAAGATGCACACGTCGGTAATGCAACCCAAGACGAAGATCCGTAGCAGGACGTTGGGGATAAACATGCTAACCATGTGTCCTGATACCATGATACTTGCGAATTTGAACAAGGATGCCGATTTCGGCGGCGCTGGCGGGACTGTGACGATGTTGGTGGTCTCACTGTAGATTGAGAAGGTAGGCGAGGGAATACCAGGGGACGGTAGACCAGGGGAATGCATCCCAGGCGAGGGAGGCCCGTGAGACTGAAGACTTGGCGAAAGGGGTTTCGGGGACAGCGGAACGTGGAGCGACCTATGCCGCGGAGACATCGAGGCCTTGTCAACCACGAAGTCTGGGAGGACTTCATTGACAAGTGGGCTCCGTGGAATATTTTGCATCGACCAGGTCTCTTGCATGCCCAGAGAAAGCGATCTATTCCGCAGACTAAGGGTTTCCTTGCGGAGCACCGAGGTCACCGTCGACTTGACGTCGGACAACTCGCTACGATGGGAGGTGTTGGATAGGTTGAAATCGTTCCTCAGGACTTGGATTTGTCGTTGCAGGTCGTGGATCTCATCCATAGCATGATTGAGTCGTTTTTGCCAAATAAGTTCAACGCTCTGAGCGTATGCTGGTGGAGGAGATGCGTATGGTCCCAAATTCGCAAGGTACTGTTTCATCTGGACAGCAGAAGTGGGCGTGTCGCCACGGAGTCTAGTGGGCACAGTTGGATAGTCAAGATTCCCGAAGGTTAGGTCGGTCACCATTGGACTGCCCCAGCTTGCGGTGCTACTACTAACAGGCGTGAACTCATCGTCTTCGAACCGCCAAGGAATGTTTTCAAATGTCGTCTTGAGGGACTTGATCAGCAAATCATTCGGACATGCAGTGTCGAGAGTCAACTTGGCCGCACGCGGAGTTGGAGGTGGTGTATCTTCCTTTGCGCGCAGCCGTCCCAGACCCGATTTGACCACAGGAAGCAAGTGGGTCACGCCCCATTTACCGATGGAGTCGATCCAGACGAGGAAGCTGCTGAAGTGATCGTCTTTGCTGAGGTCAAACTTGCACAGAGGAGACATGCAATATACCTGACCGTGGTCAATCCAGTGCATGTTCAGGACTGCAGATGTGTTGTCGATCGAACAGGAGAAGGAGATGGGTAGTTCAGGCATCATCTCTCCTTTCCAAGCTTTGGCATAGAGCATCTGAAGAGCCCTGACACACCAAGCGCCGCCGATGGCACATTGATTATTAGCGGCTTCGAGGCGATGTTCTTTGTTGCCCCATGCACGTTCGAAGACCAGGAAAGGGCAATAGAGAGCAGCGCCAGGTGAGATGTACCCTGTATCAAAGTGGACAATGGTCCCGGTCGTCACCAACCAAGAAGGTAGGACGGCGAGCTCTTCAGTTGTAAGGGCGGAGCCAGCAAATCCGCAGCCCAGGCCACTGCGCGGGACACTCAGTTCGTAGAGCGGCCCTATTTGATTGATCGCGCGCTCGGGCAGGGCTTCTCGGCTGAAAGAAGGGACCATGCAGCGAGCAAGTTGTGGTTCGTCGTCAATAGGCGGAAGCAGATTGGGGGGGAAGAGTGGTGAAGGTCCAAAGCCTCGTCCCTTGTCGACCTGATCGCGGAATTGCGCCTTCTGCGGTTCGTATTTAGCGACAGTGGGCAATTCGGATTCTATCAGTGCCAGGAGCTTTGTGGGTAGCTTTTCCTTTGGAACAGAGTCCATGACTCTGATTCGATGCTGCGCAAGCACTTGTTGGCGAAATGTCTGCCATGGCAGGTGGCTCCCGTCGTAGGAGGAAGCAGGAAGGCCGCCCTCCGTCGAGGCCGCACTGACGCCGCTGCTGGCTGACATAATTGTGACTGCTCAATGATAGACAAAGACGGAACGGTAGGTTTCTTTGTGGTAATATAATGTCGCAAGTGAGAAGAACTGTCCCAAGGTGACCAGTGAGCCCTCGGGATAGAGGTCGCATGGCGGTGGCAAAGGAAGAAGACTTGATTTGGCTTTGGGGATGAGAGACAGAGTTTAAGAACTACCCCATATGCTCTGCAGACCGTCATCACGCGAATGCGAATACACGCGCATGAGATACTTGCAGGCGCCGGGGTGATAGACCCTTGTGATAGAGACCATTCATGCTGCCGGGGCAGAAGCTGGCACACATCGCCATCTCTCCTAGTAGGGGATGAGATAGAAAAAGGAGGCTGGTAGGAGACCCCTGCGGCCGTGGGGAGTGATGAGCTGATTTGGCTTCGAGCCTCAAGCTTCACTGGCCTGAATTCGGCAGGAATTGCAAGTCCCAATGAGGCGGGATGCGGAGAGATGCACTCAGTACAGTATCCTGGAGGCCATAAGAGGTGCTGCCCACTTTCAAGGCCAGGCCTCACCGAATGAAGATACGGATGGCGCAAGCCCTTGCACATGTTGCTGCCACAAGAGCCGTGTGAATGCCATCGCTCACTGTCACCGTTAAGCATCAATGGGCCCGGTGAGCTTCACACTTCCTTCACACAGAATATGAAAGCAAGCTGAGCATCCTGTGTAACCGGGCTGAAACGTGGTCGGCGCGTAATGGTGGTTATTTAGTTGCGCCGAACATGGTCGCAACTGGGGTCACGGCGCTGTGGCTTCCCCCGGCGCTTAGCGAGCCACCAATAATTCAACGCCAATTCATGCCAAATGTTGCTATCACACCGCAAGCAAGACATCCGTCTGCAGGTCGCTGAAAAGTGATGCTCTAGCCGGGGGGGGAGTAGCACATAGTGGGTGAAGTACCTTTCAAAAAGGTTGATCAGGAGCATCAGCTCCTCAGGGGGCTCCATATGTATATCCATCAGCCAATCAGTCAGAATTTGCAAATCCTGCGAGAGACCCAGATCCGGACTTGTCATTCCATCCTTCCCCAGCTTCCAACCCCGGTCTCATAAGATCAGGCCGTCGATGCCAACGCTGGCCGCTCGTGTAGTCTCTATTCCTCCCCTGACGACAACGAAAGGAGACCTTCAACGCCCCGGAGAGTTCCAGGCGCCCAAGACGTCGTAATCACAGCGCCCCCCGAGAACAGTGGCAAGTAGCACGAAGCTGCCAGAAGGGCAGAGAGTGACTCGCACATAATAGGATACGTCAATGAAATGAGTCGTGATGCTCGCTAACCGCTATTCGAATTTCTCCGCTTGGCCCGATTCAAAACAGACCAATTTGTAACTCCGCTCCAATGCAGCTGTTCTTCTCCCCGGACCGGACTGGATAGAATATCCGCGCCCATCGGAGTGAGCTTTCGACTATTACACTTTTAATGATGCTTGTTCGACTCCTGAGAGCCATGTTGAAGTTGGCAAACTCGAGTGGATCATATGGCCTGCTCTGGGCCTTGTTGTCTTTGCAGAGCTTCACTCGCTTGTTAAAAGCAGCCAACAGATCACCTATTGACTGCAGTCTGCAGTCTGCTGTGCAAAGCAAAACGCTGCTGATCCTAGTAGCCATCGACTCGACATCTTTGTCATTGCCAAGTCCGTATGTTCTGAGGGCCGCAAAAGCAAGGGGCAGGCTGCCTTCCGAGTCGTGTGTGTTGAGACAAATGGTTCTGCCATTGATGGCGAGTGAGAAGGATTGGGTGGCTTTGCTCAAGCCTCCACAGAAAGTTCATGTCATTGTACTGCCTCTGTGGTTCCTGCGGAGCTCCCGCAAAGATCATAAGAGCGTCGTTGTAGGTTGCAACCGACCCGGAGCAGGCGTTTCGAACATCAAGCATTGGCTCATCCTAAGCCTCGACTATGAAGAAGGGCCAGTAGACATCCGGCACGGGTTGAGAGAGCTTGTCGAGGTTGCAGGGCTCGCTCAGACTGTTGGAGATGATGCCATGTTGTAGCTCCAGTTGATGAGAGAAAAAATACGTCCTCGGAATAGCCGAGGGTGATGGCAGGCTTCGAGGTTGGGAGCTGCATCTTCACCCGTCCTTGACCTCGAAGCCAGACACCTGGTAGCGTACACCTTCTCGATAGAGGAGAGTATTAGTCCGGCACTTCATTATTCTGTGGTTATTGGCCACAGAGGCCAGCAGCGGGAGAAGAGGGCCTGTCACCTCTTGCTGCTCACCGACCCTCGACTCCTGACTTGCTAGGAGAATTGGCTGGCTTCTAGATTTGGACGTTGTTTTTTTTGCCGTAGGGCTTTCCGAGGGCAAAGGCTAAACTGTTCTAGCTTCATCGTCCATGAGTACCTCTTCGACATTCGGCTCGAGGGTCATCGACCCGTAGTCGGACAAAGCGAAGGAAGTTCTCCTCTCCGACACATTGCTCTTGTTTGGCGAAGAGGGCTTGCGAATGTGACTGCGTAGGCTGGTAATTTGTGTCCCTCCCCATTCGCGCATCTTGAGGGAGATCCCGAGTTCGTGTTCAGACTGATTCTGTGAGTCTGGTTTGAAGTTGAAATGGTTGTTTTCAGTGCTTGTGGTGGAGCAAGGGCCCATGAAGTGATCTGGGGCGTCATCTCTGTCCCTGATAATGACGGTCACACGTCTCTTGAGTCCGCCGCAGAGCCCTGGAACAGGCGCTCCAAGGTAAAAGGATGTTTTCTCTGTTGGGATATTCATAGTTTTGTCCTTTCGATATTGTATCCAGGCGCAGTCAGGGACAGGGAAGGACAGGCCGTATATTGGCTGCAGTTCGCCCATTGCCTCACCGACCAATAAAATGGCTTCCACTGTCCCACAGGCGTCCGGGGCGTCTACAAGGCTGACCATCTAGATGAAAGAAGAAGCGGCACAGCGACAAAATGGCCATAGTGAATGCTTGTTTGAGAAGGAAGAGAAGCTCTATCTTGGAGCGGGAATGCTGCACTGCCAAGAGATATCCGGTCTAGCCCCGATTAGGTTAGGCTGGTGATGCTTAAGAACGTATCCCTCTTGCCCTCCCCTCTACTCTACGTTGGAGGTGACAACTGGACATTTTATTCCTTAAGCATCATCTCCAGCTCACGAGCTATTCAGTGATATCCACATCATCTATTATCGTCTAGGAAAAAGTGGGTGAATATTTCTCTCAAATCGAGGCAGTGTTGTCTGCCGGCTGTCAAACGGCTGTCTGACAGCGAGAGGTCTGCCGCTTTGCAGGGAGCACTTGGGATCACCTCCCACCAGCTCCCACCCTCCTTTCAGGAGAAATTGCGACATCTGGACTTGGAAGCCCCTGGAGTGCTCTCTGCCCAGGCGGATCAACAACACCCGCTGAACTTGGATATCCTTATAGTCGACACCCAAAGGGCCGAGTCTTGCTGCTTATCCAATCCTCCGAGACCCCCGCAAACGAGACAGAATCTAGACCTCTGCTGCTTACCACACACATCCGGGGTCTACCCAGCCTATCCCTGCCTATCCTCAGCTATCCTCGTCAGCACATCGCCATGCTAGCGAATTGCGCATCGTCATATTACGACATGGAAACCCACACAACGACGACTTCGGAGCAAAAAGGATGTGTGCGCGAAAACACAAGTACTCCGTGAGCAAGAGACTATATGAAGCGTGCATCCCTCTGTGTCGCAAGGAGATCGCAAGTGCAACGACCTCCCCTCTCACCTAGGCCAGGCGATACCACAATCAGAAGATTGAGCACATCAAGGCTCAGGATGGCACACAACGCGACAAACAATTCTATGAGCTCGACGTTCCCCCCCAAACCGCCCAAAATCAGCCATATTCTCGAGACATGTCTGATGGTCAAGGACGTTGGCGCCGCGACCGAGTTCTATAAGAACGTACTCGATGTTGAACCGTTCATGAACACGGTTAGTAGTCTCCTTCTGTCTGCACTGCTCACGTACCAACAATGCCAGCCTCGAATGTCCGGCTTCGCGTTGTCCCAGACAACATTGCTCCTTTTCCAACTCGGGGCCACCGCCTCAGACAGCCCGATGCCAGACAACCGCGGCACAATTCCTGGTCACGGACCGTCGCAGGATATACTCAACCTGCTTCTCTCCGCCGCGCCAGATGCTAGTCGACAATCACAAACACAAAATCCTACCCCGACGAATCGCGTGGAGAAGATCCCGGGTCGTCTAAACCAACACTTCTGCTTAGCCGTGGCGTCACCGGCAGACGTCCAGGCCTGGGAGAAGTGGTTCGAAGACAAACAAGTCGAGATCCTGGGAAAAGTGGACTGGCCAAGGGGTGGAAAGAGCGTGTATTTCGGTGATCTGGACGGCAACGTCGGCGAGATCGCCAGTCGAGGGATTTGGGAGCATTATTGAAATCAGGCACCCGAAATCGCAAAACAAAAATCGGATTTGTTTCCCTCCTTTTCACCAGACATCAAGCGGTCCCCAGACCATTGCACAAGGCCTATCACTCTTATTAGATCAGCTCGTAAACCCATGGGTCTGTGCAAGATCAGAGTTTTCCTCGAGCAGACTGAGGCGGGATCGCCCTGCCTCGCGGACCAGATGCGCAGCCACGAACCAAATTTTTGCAAAACCACATGTAGAAATCCCACCGCGATGCTGCTCTCGATAGGAAACCGAAAAAAAAATTACCATCGAGACAGTGAATCACGTAAACCTTGTTCACAAGACTTGGAGCAACTGAATGGATTCCCATTGGAACTGAGTGGCCTGTATAGCTAGCACAAAATCTTTGTACATGGCTCGCCATAATCCATCTTGACTGTCTGACCTGCTCTCGAGTATATATAAACCCCCTTTTCTCCCGTCGCCACCTCATTGTTCCTTCTCTCCAAAATCCCTCGATACACCCGGCGGGCTGTCCATCATCAAAGCCAACGAACGGCACATCACAACGATTCACAACTTCACACACCACGGCCTCGTCCAACACAACAACCTGACTCTACAACATTCTCAATCACAACTACAACCACAAGCATCAACATGGGTTGCTGCAGCTCCAAGCACCAAGATAGCCGTGAGCCAGCAGTTTCTGCATGCACCAGGCCTCTCACCTCCCTTACACCAACTGTCGGGAGCACCTTGTCAACCCGCTCAGAGAGGCTAGAGGCCAGGAGGTGCTCAACACCAAGCTCACACTCGCACTATTCCCACGTTTTGGACCACACCACCAGCAGCAGTCAATATGGCCAGCGGTACCCTGAATACTATGGCCACGGGAACTCCAGATCCACGTCCCACCGGAGGGAGCCTTGGGACGAGCTAGTGTAGTCAGAGGTTCCAGAGGAACCAGAGTGGAGAAGGGAAGGATGTTTTGGAGGTTGCATAGAGATTTGGGTTTTGGTGATTTGTATTCGGAAAAGGGAAAATATACAAAGGCTGACAAAGGAAGTCAGCAAGAAAGAGGAGGGAGCTCAACCATAGGCAGCCACCTCCACGTGGTGTAGAGCGTGAGTAACTAGCCACAGTTGTTGGCTGGTGAAACCAAGAGCTGTCTCCCGTAGCATGTTTATCTTGCATCGGTAGCTGGAAAGGGAGAAAAGGGTGCCAGATCCACGCCATGCGCTTATCGTGGTCGTTCAAGCACGCCCCAGCCAGCGGGCAGTAGACGCCCATTCCAATGTTAGCGCTCATGTACCGGTGCTGTCAACGAAAGCAGCACCCGCCAGTTTCAAACCTTGCTCCTAGACATGAAAGCCACGGACTGTCTGGCACGACAAATGTCAACCTCGGGTAGGCGGTGGTGCCTCAACCGTTGTTGAGGTGGAGGGGTCAGTAAACTGCACAATCTCTTGTCATTTGATGATTATTGCGTGGACCCGAAAGAAGACGTGTCTTTGAACGAAGGCTCTGGTGAAATCCTCAATAGTTTGCATACTGACAACCATCATCATTTCAACTCGTGGTATCCTGGGCAGAATGGAGAGACCAACGTATAGGGAGAGATGTCAAAGTTGAATACTGCTGAAGAGGCAGAACATTGCTGTTGTTCAGTATGGTGAAAGGCGCATTATATCAGCGTAGCCGTGTTTTAATATCTAGGAAACGACCAAATGTGAGAGGTATAACAATAGTCGACATCGTACGTGCGCTGTGAGGCGATACAGATAAGTTTAGAGGAATCATATCTCGTCTTTTGTATCATAGTTTCCGTTCTTCCTTCTTCGTTCTTCCTGGTTCGGCTGATGAATAATCTTGCACATCCGATATTGCACATCTTGCTGCAATGAAGCGTTGCTTGCAGTACCCCCTGCCCCGTTGGAATTATGGCGATAAATCCTGATCAAGAGCTCGGAGTAAGTTGTCCCACTACTGTTGCGTGGGATGCATGCTTCCACGGGGTTCTAAACAGCTGGTCGCCAAATGCAACTCTGTTCTCACCACGGGTGTCTGTCGCGTCAAAACAGGGGTCCGCCCCCGTATGCATAGCTGGTGGAAAGGTGTCCTTGTGATCGAGACTCACATGAAGTCATCGTCCTTCAACTGAGCCTTCTCCTTCCGAGCACGCTTTCGGTCTCTGATCCTTTTCTCCGTGGCCATAAACTCCCGAATGCCGACAGGAATCCCCTGGAATAGAATGTCCTCCTCATCAGCCACTGCCGAGGGTTTTGTCCAAAGACTTTCACTTCCACCGCCATCATCGTCTATGCTTGCTGAAGCCTCGCTTACTTCGGGTCTTGCCATCTCGATCTTTGGAGCTCCTCGTCGACGCTTTGGTGATTTTGATTGCGCTTCGTGAACTCTAGCGGCCCAAGCTTCCACATCGTCTCGATAATCGTCCCAAACGCAATGCATGCAGCCACTCATGCAGCAATTATCCGGCTCGGCCGGTTTGGGAGGGACAGCGATGCCGTTTATTGTGCGCCACGTCGGGTCCGGCGTGTCTGAAGTCCGCCGTTCATATCCCGACCCTCGTACTGATCCAAATACTTTCCTTGCTCTTTCCAACTTTTCCTCATCGCCTGGTTGCACAAAGGAGGGCAAGTCTGAGTATGTACGCGGATGCTTTTGGATTGGCGTTGACAGGAGCTCGGTGTAGAAGTCGCCCAGTGGTAGGGCCTGTTGCTGTTGGTTAGGTGCTTCCTCGGGCACCTGTGCGGTAGTACTGAATGGTCGCCCACCCTGCGTTTGGTGGTGCTGCACCTGAGGGCCAAGTTTGATCGGTCGAGCATCGTTGCGCAGGCTGGAGGTTGACATCGGGCGCTGCGGGCTTCTCAGCTGATGCCGGAGACAGGACGCACAAGTCCATCTGGACCTTGAAAACATGTTTAGAGTTGGGCTCTGCAGGACCATAGACTGTGGGCACGACTAATAAAGACTAATTTGCACGATAGAGCATCAAAGAAAACTCCCCATTGTAATTATCAGTGGGCAGCTTGAGGCAATGTGGGCAGCTTTAAAAGGGTGATGTCACGGCCGGCCTCGCCTGTTTTAGTGTGGCAGCCTCGTGCGGCGGCAAGGCTCCGCCTAAATGTAAGCCCACCTAGGCCTAGCTCGCTCGCCACTCGCTCTCGTTTACTGTACGGGGTAATGAGGCCTGGAGCTCGCGGGTGTCATGTTCCAGCCCCTGTTGCCCCTGACCAGCGACCACCTCGGCGCCCCCCCTTTTGGTTCTGATGCTTCCAAACTGCGCGCTGTGCGCGACAAGTCAAATTTTCTGCCTGCGTGGTTTTCTACTTCTCCTTTTTACCTGCCACTGCCTATATTAACTTGTGTTGCACTTGTTCCTTCCTTCTCGTTTCGAGCTTTTACATTCCTTATAGATTTCACTTGCGTCCTTCGTTTGGTCAGCGCTAGACAAGTCTGTACTCTGTATACTAAATCAAACACCCACTCTCATTTCGAACGCATTTGCGTCTTAAAATCGGCAAAACAAAGAACAAATCATTCAAGCCATAACCAAACAAAAATGTCTCACTTCACTGTCGGCACGTTTTTCGCCTCTACCGCTACCGCTCTCGCGCCGTTCCTTGTCGTCTACTACATGCCGCAAAAGGCAAAGGCGCAGACACCCTCCTCTGCGCTGTCCACGCTCCCCAAGCCTCGTCCTCTGGCTGCCTTGCGCGACGCACGCGAAAACGCAAAGACAACGCCTGAGTTCAACCTTCTCTAATGTCGGCAGAATCCGCTCATATGGGGCTGTCGTGGTTTCAGCCGGTTTATTGGTCATTCAGGATGTGTTGACGGTTACACGAGGGTTCATGACTGGGGCTTAATACATGGTGGGCGGGGAGAAGGGATGATCGAAAGGACCGGGTCATGTGCGCGTGGGAGGACTATGGACGAGGACAGCAAGCATTTGGGCAAAAGGGTTTAACGAAATATGTCTTCATGAGCAGCTGCAACGTCCAATGCGCCTTTTGCATTTATCGCAGTAGCCAGGGCGAGATCAAGGAATGATACGCTGCCTTGGTCTTTTCATTCCGTGTCCTCTCTTGGTTACATGTGAATCTTTCCTCTTAGGCTACCTCTACAGGTGCGCATCTGGGTTGATGAACTTCGATCCGCTTTGCATCAGTGGTCCAGGAAAGGGGCTGCTTTGGTGAGCAGAGCAAAGCGATCATGCCAGTCTATGAGAAAGAATCCCTTCTCACATTGACCTACTACAGCTACTCATGCCAGATATTCAATCACTCGAGAAGAACTGATAGGAAACTCATGATATCGTCGCTTTGGCCGGCGAAGCAGCCAAGGTTTCAAAGCTAGGAGCCACCGGTCTCAAGCCAACAAGGGATTACTTCCAAGAGGCATCTCTCCCTCGCAAGAGCACAGGGGATAGACAGATCTGGCGAAATATTGACTGCCAGTTCACCCCTCATCAGCTGGTCGTAGTGATTATGGCCACTCATCGAAAAATCGACGACACCTTATCACTCAGTTTTTCGCTCAACGATCGGACCATCCTGCGCTTGTTTGTTATTCTCTCATGCAGATTCCGAGGGGCCACAGCGGCCTCGAAATAGGACGGCGGGGAGGCAGAGCTGCCTCCACTGGGCAGGCTTATATGCCTCTTGCCAGGCAACCATCTTCCTTCACTTCCTCTTTCAGCGACTTGCTTCTCGTCAGTCATAGCCGGCCCCGAGGATTGCATCCAACTTATGGCAGAGGATTTATTTCCGACATTTGAAGCAGCGCCACTTCGGATCGAGGACTGGAAAGATCCTGTGTCAACCCCGGAAATCCCAAAGCCTCTCCTCGCATTGATACGGTATGGCCTCTCGCGGATTGAAGCGGCATGAGCGATGACCACGGCGTCTCGCAGCTTGCGGAGGTCCGCGCCATAATGCTTCAGAGAATACAGTTGTTTCACAAGCTTGTCGACGCCCTTCGCGTCCAGAATCTCTTCGTTTCTGCCTTTATCAAAGTTTGATTCGAAAAGGTTGACAAGCTCCTTGTATTCGCGCCGATACTGTTCAAAGGCATCCAGTCGGTGCCGCTTACCACCAATCGCAACCTTGGACTTCTCCTCTTTGATCAGATGGTCCAGATATTCCAGCGTGGCATCGTTGTATGGGGTGATGGAATGGTGCTTGAGCCAGAGGCTGAACTGGACTGCCGCCCTCTGGATCTCTTTATGCTCGTGTCTGAATTCTGCTATGATATCCTCTTTAGCCTTGATTGCTGCCTCGATAACAGTAGTCACCTTGGCATTTTCTTGCAACAGCATCTCGACTTTCGGATCTTTGATCGTCTTTGTTGTCTCTCTGTGTTCGTACAGAATATGCTTGTGTTCTGTCCAATGATGCCTGCAGATTTTACAATGTTGCAAGCCCGCGAATGCTGCACACCTCACCAACTCTGGAGTTCCCACTTTCTCAACGGGAACATTAGTCAGGCAACAAGGGTTGTGACAGAGACTTTTGTGCACAGTATCCTCCCCGTTCGGGCCGGGAGTGTCGACTTTTCTAATGCAGTTCGCATTAGTGCAGACAGTCTTTGGACGAGTCACCGGACTGAACACCACCGAGTTTTGCTGAATATCCAGCTTCTTGAGCATTTCGTCCTTGCTCAATCTGCTGTTCCGCAACAGTTCATTGTCCCGTTGGTTCAGTTCAATGGTGTCATTGATCTTTTGTGCTATTTCAGCCATGGGTTTGGTCAACTGAAGAATCAAGCGTCGAGCTTCATTCAGACTGAGAGTGTTTTTCACTTGATGCGGCTCTAATCGGCGAATATAATTCAGTAAACGCCGTGACTCGGTAGCAGACTGCTCCCAGCTTCGGAAATAGTCATCGTAGCTGCCTATGTTGACCCCTTGCTTATGAGCGGCGAGGTATCGGAAGCTTTCCGAGTCGAAACAATAGACTGTGTCATGGAACAGGCCCAGTTCGACATCTCGGAACTGCTTCAACACAGCTTCGAGTGGTATAAAGGTGTCTCCAGGGTGATAATTCGAACCACGAGTGTTGGTAAAACCAAATACCATGTTGCGAGCAGCGTTGCGGTGCAAGTGGGTTAACAGTTCCTTGATGCAAAACTCGAACATGAGGTTCAATCGAGAGTTGTTAGGCTTGAGGAGTATCAGAATCCCATGCAGCTCCTTGTAGTTGCTTAACACTGACAGAACGTCCGCCATGTTGGCTTTGTCCTGATCCAACCCTCTGGTGTCACCGATACCGGGGGTATCGATCAAGCGGACCATTACCGAATCAACGAAGATAGGGTAGGTCATAGCCTTTTGTGTAGCAGACTGACCATCGGACGCATCGTGCTCAAGCTCGTCCCTGGCGCCGATTTCAACTCTGGTCTGAACAAGTCTCTTAAGAGGATCATTCTCATCGATCTTTTGTGTGGCGAACGAACATGGAATGACATGCTCTATTTGACTTGCATCCATTGCTTCTTGCAAAGTAGCGTGGGTGAGATAATTGACGAATGCATTAATCCACGTACTTTTGCCGACACCTGTCTCGCCTAGGATCAAGATGTTGACCTCTTCAAAAGGATCCATGGCATCAAGAAACTGTAAGAGTGGACGGTCATCATATCGCTCGAAATCTGGTCCATGGCACGGTGCGTTGCACCTGAAACTCCAGTAGCGGTATTTGGTACGGCCACAGTCACAATACAAGTAGTGATCTCGCTGCCCATAGTCGATGGTAGAGTAGCACCGAGAACAGATCCACTGAAGCTGCGCTCGTGGCTCACAGCCTCGTCCCGGACAAGGCAGCTTGACCGGTTTCCGATCTATCGGTTTCTTGACCCCCCATCTATCAAGATGAGCCTCATCGAAACCCATCAGGCATTTGTCTCCAAGGAAATCCTGGAGCTTTTTGAAGTCATTTGTAATCAGAGTGCCATCGCGATGGTAGGTGATATTGGACTTTTGATTGGACCGCCCACTCCGGTCGCAGTCCACAATCCGGACGGCCTTTCGGGTGCCCTGATCTCGGAGCAAGTTGAAAATTAGACGCGAATTCGGCCCCCAAGTTGTATTATCGTCCATAGCGATGCGGCTGAAGTAAAGAGTATACACATGGCCGCGAGGCGTGGTCACCGAACTCTCGCTTGGAAAGTAATCTGCCCCTTTCCTTGTCGCATGGTCAATGAAACCCAGCTTTCTAGCATAGACATCTGCCACAGCAGTAAGCTCCACTGGAGCATAGTTGCCATTCTTGAATTTGTCGAGTACCTGCGCCAGTTGTTTCGAGCCTGCCCGACCGCTTCGAACATCGCGGAGAGTAATGCCATATTGCACCTTCAGTGCATCTTCTGCTTTCTTTGCACGATCAAAAGACTCAGAAACTTCGCGGGCATGTTCCTCTGGCACGAGAGAGCGCCGATGAGAAATATAGGACAAGTAATCCCTTAGTCGTCTCTGAGCACTCCTGATCTCTTCAAACATTCTCAGGTACTCATGTAAATGATCCTCGCTGGGCTGGACGACTATGTTTTCGGCCGTGGACTCAAGGGATAATATCAGCGAGAGCCATTGTATCGGGAGGAGCGTGTAAATGACCGGCTGTCCCCACCCTCCATTGGTATCCAACAGCTGATTTGGTACATTCCGCATGAACTCGCAAGCACCCTTGAGGTCGGTCTGGAACGAGCTGCTTCCCAACAAGTCCGTGTAGAGATGAACCCGAAGTGACTTAATCAGGTCACGTATGGGATACAAGTCTGCGATTAGGGTCTCGTTATGTGCAATGTTTTGTTCGATTTTGGCGTATTCCTCTCGTAGTAGGGTTCTCACAGCA